CCTCATTTTTATTTTTTGCTGTTCTTTTGTTTATAACTTCAATTTGAATTTTAGGCTGGATTTAGGAGAAAGTAGACATTTTCATTGCTCCATTGGTACACGTTGCCTTGGACTGTAGTCTGTAGACGTAAGGCGCACCTCTAAAATTTACGTAAGAGACATCGTTCAGGTGTCATACTTTACGATAACTTGAAAATCAATGTTTATAATTGGTTATAAAATTTTAAATTTCAAAAATATTATAGATCAAGCTTATCATTAAGCACTTGAAAATTTTAAAAATGGATGGTCCAGATTATTTGTTAGAAGATGTACTCTTTTTCATGATGTTGGGAATTTTTCTTCTTCATGTCTATGCATCATGAGGTTGAGATAATCAATTAAAAGGTTCTCCAATGCTGGAATACATTTTTTTGTGGTTTTTTGTGGGATAGTGTGCCTTACTTTATAGCACAAGGTTACAACTTTTAACTTTTCCTTGCGCAAAACACTTCAAGATGGTTAAAAAAGTAATAAAAAGTACATTTTAAAAAAGGGTGCAGTTGGCTTATGGTTGCATCCGTACAGGTAAGGTGTACTTTCAAATTTTTTATCATGGTATATAATTTTGATGTAAAATGTTTTTAGGATTATTCTAAAATATATTTTTATATCTAATTATCAATTTTTAAATTTTAAAAATGGTTAAAATCAAGTAGATCTATAGATATGAAAATCTTGAAAATGGATGGTGTAGATACTATGTTGTAAAATGCATTATCTCTTAAGATTATAATTTTTTTTTAGTTTTCATGGTCATACATCTTGATGTCGAGATGATCAATCAAAGGGTTTTTCAACATTAAAATTATTTTAGCCGATCGATTTTTGAGGTGCATTTGTAGTTCTACATTATAAAGTTGCATCTTTATATAAATTTTTTTTTAAAAAATTATCGTGTGATTGGAAAATTTTTGAAATAATCTAAGAAAGGTGGGAAATGCAAAAATAAGTTTTTAGAGTCAAAAGACCCTCCAATCTTTGTCAAATGATAGAAAACATAAATAAATTTTTTATTTTCTAGAATTTTTATGATTTTTTTTTGTATTTTTTTTTTTATCCCCGAGTGGAACACCCAACTCGAGGTTACTCAGGCACGCCAGGATGCAGAGCCTGGAATGGTAGGCCTGACTCTTCAGCACTCCGACTGAGTGCTCAAACACTGCTTACAAAGCACATGCATATCATGGTCTTTTTGAAATTCATGAACTGCACGAATAAAATGAAATAAAAATGATCAATGTAAGGCATGACTTGATGATTTGTAACCTTGCCGTAAATTCAATAAATTTTTAGAAAGGTTAGTGTCATTTTGGATGCATGATTTAAATTCTTCTTGTAAGAAAACTTCCAACTTCACCTTGACTTCAAAATTTTCTCAATTTTATTTTGTTCCATCCTTGAGTTGTTTGGTTGTAAACCAAACTAAAAAACCGGTTAAGGGCCAGGTCTGAGTAATCGGTAAACCAGCCCAATCGGTCAGGTTTTGGTTGGTCCAAAAAGTGTTAAAAATAAATAAATAAATATAAAAAATATGAAAAGTATATATAAAACATGATTAAACAAAACACCAAGATGAAAAGTAGTGAAAAATAATAATTTTTACATACGTGTCAGGGTTATTTTCAAAATTTTCTATAAAAGATTAAAAAAATGTAAATTTAAGTATTAAGCCAAAACATTTTATAATTTGTGTCAAAATAATAAAAAACATTCAAATGCACGAAAACAAATCTCGTATTTTTTTAATTTTTTTTTTAAAAATACCCGGCCAAACAATCAAAACGGCCAAACCAAATTGGCTAGTGCCCAAGTGCCCAGGTTCTGGTTAGACTGCCTGGTTTGAAGTTCGACCGCCTGAGGGTGCTAACAATGATTCGAAGAAATAATAGAGGATTCCCTCTTTGGAAATTAAGCTCTCCCGTAGAGGCAAAGCGAGGTGGAGTGATCCGCATATATGTTCCTCTATCTATAAAAAACATCAACGTCCAAACTTGAATGTCTATGAGGAACTTCAGATTTTTTAAAAACAACACTAAAAATCTGTTGGTTAACTCAGATAAGGATAACGTTTCTTTAAGTCGTCCTAGGACTTGTGTTAAAAAAGATAATTATAGCTAACTGCAGATACGATGATTTATGGTCACACTGAGAGTATGACCTTTAATATAACAGAATGACGGACCAGGATTTGTGTAGAAGACTTTAATTAATTGAAAAAAAAACTATAATAATAATGATAATGACAGTTAAACTTGAAGTGATGGTCCAAAAGCCTTATACACAACGAAACATGGCGTACTTGAATTGCATATGATAATTCCCCTAAGTAATAATATAAAAGGTGGCAAATCAAATTATTTTGGTGTATTATTCATGGATTCCCTATAATACTCATAAATCATGGAAACAGTACGGTCACATCTAGAGTTTCATTCCCACCAAATTCAACGTTAACACACTAGGAAAATAATAACAATGACCATATTGTAGAAAGGGAAAAGTTTATATAAAGTAGAGGCCTTAAAAAATTAAACTAAAGCACCTTAAAAATTCACTGGGAGAAGTTTGATGCTTCATTATCTTAATAAATATTGCACCTTATAAAAAACAAAAAAAAGTTTCGATGCCGAAAGACACTCAAATCCGATCATTTCAACCTTGAGATCATGGGCGTAAAAAAAAAAAAAAATTTCAAATCTTAGAAATAGTGCATCTTGTAATGCTCTATTAGTGCATCTTGTAATGCACTATCTAGACTGTCAATTTTCAAGATTTTTTAATATTCATATATCTGCTTTAAACTTTAAAATTTTATCTAGAGATTAAAATAAATTTTCAAACCATCATGAAGATTTTCAGTACCTATACAACATCCTTCAACACCATTTGGCACGTCACTCTTATACAAACCACTCCTTTGTGAAAAAAGAAAAATTACATATGAAATGAAGAAGGCTGGTATTTCAAAAGCATACACTGAAGGCTTGGAAACCACTTTAAAAAGGCCTTTAGAACCTAATTTTTGCAAACAAATCTTAATTCATTTAGTAAAAATTCTAAAAAAAAATAAATTTTCAGATCTTAAAAATGAAAAATATGTTAGTCATTTAAGGGGCTGGCCTTTCTACAGCATTGACTGAAGCCCCAACATATACTTTGAGTGGATTTTCATGACCAAAGTTTTGCAATTGTATCTTAATTCATGTAGAGACATTCTATAAAAAAGTGAAAATTTGAACTTCAAAAATTGAAGATCTCTAGGGTCCCAACTATGGATGGTCCAAAGTTCAAGTCAGAGCAGAAGCTGATGTCACAAGCGTTAGGCGGCTATCTAGTGGCCATTATAATGGAAACATGGTTGTTATTTGTCATATGGATTGTTTTCTTTTTGACCCACTTGTTAGCTGTATGCAGCATCACATTATAAAGGCCGCTATTAATGTTATAATATCCAAAACCCAAACCATGTTTCAAAGTTAATTGTAAGTTTATTAGAAATATAATTGTAATAGAAAATCCTTGGTGCTATGGCCATGGCTTCTATTCAGATATCACAATTAGTTAGTACGACAACAACGGCAACCAATTTAAATAAGGGTGTGGTTTGTATAGAGCCAAAGTAAATAAAGCTTTGAACAGTCAAAGTAAAGCACTCTTTCAAATAACGACGAGAATGTGGTTTCAATATTGGAATTTTTGTGATAGCCTTAGAATATATTTGAAAAATTTATGTATGGATCATATTGAGAGAAGGACAATTATAAAGTGGGATCACGTTGTCCCAAATTACAGGCAGCACCTCCCCTCGTAGGGTTTTATTCCCCAAGTTACCCATATCCGATAATGTAAATACCGGACAGATGAAATTTATACTGTGTAAAACAACACAGTTGTCCGGTATTTGAAATACCATACAACTATATGCTATCATCAAATCCAACAAGCTCTCTTTCTCCAAATATTGTGACTTCGCATTTTTTTAAAAAATAATCTCTCTCAAGCTTTCTTTCCCCCAGACCATCTCTCTGCTGTAATCCATCTCTCTCGACGCTTTCTTTTCTTGTTCTGCGTTGAGAGTCCTTTATTTTTGCTCTTTGCCAAACAGAAGAGAGAGAAAAGGAGTCCTTGATTTTGCTTTTTCTAATGTAGTGCTAAGAGCCGTTTTCAATCTTCTACCATTTCTATATTTTTACTTGATTTGTTTTACTTTTCATTTTATTTTACTTCGTGGTCAAGGAATTCGATCCTTAAAAGTTGGTTACCAAAGGAACCAAGAATTCCAAATGGTTTGAACGGGAAACAGCAGCAGCCCACAACGGCGTTTTGCCCTACATTGATAACAAAAAAGACAACATATTTATAGGAAAATTTATCTCCTCAAAAAGGCTGCTAAAATAAAAAAAATCACTCGATACTTCTACTGCAATTATTTGCCTTTGGGAAATTCTTCCATCGGCAGTGAGAGTATCAAACACAAAACTCTCTTCACTTCTATTTCGGGGGTCAAAATAAACTCCATCCCACACCCCTAAAACCCCTAAAACCCAGAACTCTGTTGGTCTTTCTGTGGTAAAGATTGAGGGCTGGGTTCATCTTCCAAGGCTAATGGCCGTTTTCAGGTTAGATGAGTCTAATAAGAGGATGGGTGATTCATCCCATTCCAGTTATTTCCGTATCTTTTCCGCATTGGCGATTTTAATGTTAGGGGAGAGAAGAGATGGAAGGGAGGTTAGGGGAGAGATGTACTTGGCGATTGTAATGTTAGGGGAGAGAAGGAAGGTTAGGGGAGAGATGAGAGAAAAGTTGAGAGATATTTTTTTTTAAAAAAATACAGTCACAATTTTTAGAGAGAGAAAGCTTGTTGGTTTTAAGGATAACAAATAATTGTCTAGTGTTTCAAACACGGGACAACTGTTTTGCTTTGCACAGTATAAACCTCACACGTCCGATGTTTGTGTTACAAGATAGGATGGTAATTTAGGAAAAAAAAACGCCGTAGGGGGTAAGTAACACCCGTAATCTATTTTGTAATTGACCCCCCCAATATAGCCCGTACGTAAATTTCTCAATATGTTTTTATCTCTAATTATAAAATTTAAAGTTACAAAAATAGTGTAGATCGAGTAGATCTATGAAAACTTGAAAATTCTGAAAAATGACGGTCCAAAAATACATTACAAAATACACTATTTCCAAAACTTGAAATCCATTGTTTTTTCATCTCCATGCATCTTGAGGCCAAGATGATCAATTTACAGATATTTGGGCATCAAAACAACCTCTTCAAGTGGAATTTTTGAGGTGCCCTCTAATTTAATTGTTTAGAGCCTCGCACTTAAACTTTTTCCTTTAAATGATAGAACTACAAAAATGTCAAATCACAACCATGTCTTTTTCTTTTTCTTTTTAATTATTATGACATGATGAAATTGTATACTTTGGCTACAAAATTGGATTGAGAAAGAAAAATGAAGGTAGATAAATACGAGGCAATCTGCATACTCTTTTCTTCATCGCTTGACCCACTGGAAACTCTTTCTGGCCTTGGCCTTCCCAGGCTTTTTCCTTTCCACTACACGCGGGTCTCTGGTAAGAAGCCCAGCTGCAAAAATGCAAATACAAGATATCAGCACAGGGCGAACCGGCTCCCTCTCTGTGTACGCGCGTGCACATGTATATGTGTGTGCATGTTCCTCTGCACGTCCACACACACAAGCATGTGCAATAACACCAATCATTTAGTTGATTTTGCAATGGATTTTTTAATGAATCTTTCTCTCTCCCCCACACACGCACAGACACATCCAAATAGGAATCTTGAGATTTGCCCTTCTCCCAAATGATTATGCTCAAGTGGTTTGCATTAGCAGAGAGGTGTACTATTGAGTCTCAGATATTGGAAAACAATAGCAAAACCACCAAAGACGCACATGCAAATACACATGATCATGGACTTTAACAACAAGGTGAACCTACTTGATCTAAGATATGACCGGAGCCCAGGTTCCCAATTTTGCAAAGCTCTGCTTATTCCGAGACGAATGGCTCCAGCTTGACCTGCAATTGTAAAGAAAGGAAGGGAGCCTCAACCTCTAATGCAAATATTCTATAGGAGATTCATAAATTCTTACCAAGTAAAGAATTTAACTCAAGCATCACCTTCTCTACCAGTGAGTAGCAGGCCTTGTGTTTGAATATCTTGTTTCCCATTAAATTTAAAGCGAAGGATGTGAGAAAGAGAAACAATCAAAACTTACACATTGGGAAAAATATGCTCATCCAAAGATCACATTAATGAGTCTCAGCAGATTTAAGTTATATCAGTGTGCTCGTGTCAAATATGGTTCCATTTGTTTTCAACAAATAATAATTGGTCAAATAACAACGATCTAAGGAAAAAGAGATTATTCAGCAGCAAACATGACAGAAGAAAAATACAATAAATCCAAGTCCTCAATTGATCCTTAATTAGCCTTTCAACCTCTCTTAAGACAACTTACACTGCCTACACTAATAGAAGACACTAATAGAAGACAACAAATTGAGATTACCCCCCGCAGAAGGAGGGCTTCATGGGTTTGGTGTTGGTGTTGGTGTTACGGATTGGAACTGAATTACTTTAAGATAATAAAGTACCATGTTCCCACAATGGGGAAATAAGCTTCTCGTTTGAAAGAAAATATTTCATGGTGATTGTCATATCTTTCAAGGAACTCTATTGCTTCATCATCTCATCAAAATGGCATTTCCTAGCAAGTAATAGCAATTGACAAAATGTTTAAACCTTTTAATTTAATGTATGTACTAAAATACAATTTTAAACAGCACTTTCTTTTATATTTATGTTTATCAATTACTACTTTTAGCAGAAAAGAAAATGTTTATCAATGATTAAGAGCACGTGTGTGCACACACAAACACACATCATGGTGTACAAGTTCTCACCCCCAAAAGAAGATGTACGCACCTCGTATGCATTTAGAAGAATAATTCCCTTCTAGAGAACCCCTATAATCAGTCCAATCTTAGCTAGGGATTTGTTTTTACAAGCATTGTGCAACCAGAAGTGCGCTGTGCTGATGATGTTCTTCTTAAGTGGTTTGTTATTGTTATTAAAATGGGTTGTAGTTAGGAATCGTTTAAAAAATAAAAATAACAACTAATTTTAGCTTTTTTGTCCATCTAATATTTCATACTCTCTATTTGTTTCAAAAAAGGTTAGGCAATATCCAATATTACAGTTGCTATTTTATTGTTTGTGGGCTTTATTGCATGGTACAATCTATGAGTTGTCGATGATATGGTTGGTGTATTAGTGTCTTTGAAGTACCCATTTCAGTATCACTACTATCCTGTACAATTCTAGTGGCAATAACAAAAGAGAATCAAGTGATGGTAGATTTTATCAATAGTTGTATGAATACAATCTGGAAGTTTATCATCTTCCTAAACAGTAGGTGGAATAGCATATCAGATTAAATAACAAGAGAAACTTGGCATCCCGAAATTATTTAAGTATATCATGCACCAATAATTGAGAAAAGGTTATAATGATGATGATGCACCAATAGCACATCATATATGCACCCCACAGGAATATGAATCAAAAGTTCCTGAAGATAGATATTGGAGACGATATCAACAGGCACAGCTGATCATCAGGGACGTGGATAGTGGATGTTCCTATGGTGTGTCACACACCATAAGCCAAAATTTAAATGGTTAAATTCATTAAAAAGCCACAACATAAATGGTTAAATTCATTAAAAAGACTTCTACAAACCCTTTCAATGTAGCACAGCACTCTACAAATGCTTACCTGATACACCACCTCCTTTCACAGTGCACTTCACATCCCAAAGACCCAAAGTCTTGGTCTCAACAAACGGTTTTAGAAGATCAATACGATGGTCGAGGATTGGAAAATAAACATCGAATTGCTTGTCATTGACAATAAACTTTCCATCACCAGGTTGAACCCAAACACGAGCTATGCTACATTTCCTCCTTCCAGTACCATATGCCCTTCCTTTTTCATCAACTTTTCTCACATAGGTTTTAGCTATTTCTTCCTGTTTTTGTTGCTCCATTTCAAATCTAGGGGATTTCCTTTCACTGTTTGCCAGGCGGGCATCCTCAAGCTCACTAAGAGGTGGTAATCCCTCAATGCCTTCCAAGTCCTTTAGGGCAATCAAGCTGTCAAGCATAACCTCTGTGATTCCTGAAGCAGCAATCAGGTCTCCAAATGCACGATTAGGACCTGTCATTTGAAAAAGAAGACAATCAACAAAATGTTATGTTAATCATACAGTTCATTAAACACACAATGCTATAAACTTCAAGGGTAGGGTTTAATGGAGTAAGCATATGTCTGCAGTCTGCACTCCATTAGCATTTAGTTCTTTTTAGCTCTTTGAAGAGTTAAAATTTGATGCAAAAGATCACGTCATCACTCTTATTGCCTTAAATTAATTCTCCACATTATAGCAATGCAGTTACAAACAGCCATTACCACTAGTTGTAACAACAAGCATATCGTTTATTTATATAAAGCATGGTAATAAATGTTCTCTCTCAAAACCAGTGATTAAAAAATCAGTGACTCAGGCTTGGGCATGCCTGAGTCACTCTGACCCGGCCCCAGGTAAAAACATTTGAGACTTGGGTGATCTCACAGACTCACAACCCCCCATGTACTTTTTACAGGGACTTGCAGAGTGGGACCGCAGAGCAGCCCGAGTAGGAATCTGACTCAGGCTTCTGACCTGGCGAATCCAAGCCCAGTCAGGAATTTTAATCACTGCTCAAAACCTTCTAAAGTACCTAACATGCACCCATCTAATACCAACAACCTATATTTCCTCTAACTATTTGGCTGCAGTTTGCCTGCCAAAATTATATAAGACAAGGACATTTAGTTTTAGCTAGACAGTAATCAACAGTACGAAAAACACAACTTTAACCATGATGACTTCATACAATATGATAACATACATGCCACCACGGGATAGAAATAAGAAGCGTATCCAGGAGTTCTAAGGAGAGTATTTGCCAAATTTAACAACACCAAGCAAAAGAAAGAAGAAATCAATAGGCAAAGGTGGCCTAATTTACAAGTTGAAAAGTATTAGTCCAATAAGAGGTTGAGTTTCACTTTTAAGCAAGCAATGTTCAATATATGGCAAGAGAAAAAGCAATTGAACCAAATGTTTTCAATGGAGCTATCTTCCAGGTATTCTGGGACGAGATTGTGAAATAGGACATTTTGGACTAATTCCACAGCCAAAAGAGGATGATTGAAGTACTTATTACAAAAGTTATTATCATATTCCCAAAAGGGTTATGAATGACCTAAATGTGTAATAAGCTTTGTTATAGCGTATCACAGTGATTACTATAGCCCTAGCCAGAGGGATCAAGGAGTACATGCTTATTGTAATTTAGACATCCCAAGAGAGCTTTGTTAAAGTTAGGGAGATATTTGAAGGGTTGAGACATGACTAAATGGAGAAACCTGGGCATACTCCGTTTTTTTTTTTTCAAATTGTTAACCAAATTCATTAAACAATCTGATTCAGTGGCTGCAAGAGACGAAAGTCAATTAGCAACTAATTGAGCCCATCTCTTGAAAGGTCAACAGAAGATCTTACATGGTAGATCCCTACAACAAAAAATATTGAAGGACATTGTGTTCGCGTGTAGTTGTCTTTATTTTCCTCTTCTTTCCCTTTTTACCCTTTATGGGTTTTTCTTCTTTTTTTTGTTTTTTTGTTTTTGTTTTGGATGGGGGCTGGGGGATGGGGATAGAGGAAAATATGAGAAGATGAGGCGTCAATCCATTGCAAAATAGTTCTAAAATTGCAGCAATACCATTTAGCAGGGCTTTCCCATTATTGCAGTGAAGATTGACTACATTATAAATTATACCTTTGGATCCCAGGGTGAGGCGTATGAGCATGAAAAATGAACAGTGGATGAGGAGTACGAGTCAATAATTTATCTCGACAAGATTAAGGCCTTGTGGAAGATGTAAGATATAGACATGCACATTGTTGGAAATATTTGGATGAAGATAACAGTTACAATTATAAAAAAGAGGGATCGCTGGTTAATTTCTTAGTTAATTTCCCAGATGAAATGTGTCCCTCAACTCTATTGATGTATGGTTATGTTGAGAAGAACTTCTCTGAGTTATTTGAAATACAGGACAAGGAAATCAAAATGCGGGGAGGAGAAGTTTGTGCGACTAACAACTGATAATCCAATTGCCTATCTAACCAAGAAGATGAGACAATTGTTTTCAGCATCATTTGTCATGGCTACTGCCCTCTACATTGGCTTAACCTTAGAAGGTCTGGGAGAACTCCAGAGAGCATCTAGCCTCACATACAAAAGACAGGCTTCCACCATAATCACAAGTAGGAATCAAACTTCGGCCCCATGTGGATACCACGAAATGGGTCTCTAGAAGACTCAAGACACAGCATTTCCGCAGTTTGAATGCAATCAGGAAATGGAATTTCAATCTCCTTGTGGATATCTGTATCCACATTTTGAGGCCAAAACACAGAGATGTGTATTCCACCAAAATAATAATATAACAATTAATATATATATATATATTTATTTATTTATAATTAGTATGCATAATAATTCATATATTATGGTAAATATTTATTCATATATTAATTATATATTATCATCATTAGAGCCTTTTCCTAACTATATAATATATTAATTATATATAATTACAACAATTATATAATTATAATTACCTATATATTGTAATATATAATATTACAATAATATAATTATTATAACATCATATAATAATATCATTATAATATAATAGTATTAATATAATCCAAACAGTGGACATGCATCTTCTAGGTTTCTTATCAGATGCTATCCAAACAACAAATACTCATATTCCAGGAAATGCCAATTCCAGGAGATGTCAATTCCAGGATACGCATCTCCCGAGGACATGCTATCTAGGTATCCAAATGGGCCCTTGATGACAAAAGCATTGGGATAGGGATAGTGCCATCATGGCTAGAGAAATTAAAATTTCAAAATCACGCACATCACTGCAGAGTACATTAGATCTTAATTCATATTAAAGAAGGTGTCCTTCCTTGATGTCAGCAAGTTGGTAACACAATGATTATGTAAATCATAAGCAGTAAATCTAGTAAAAAAAAGCACATATATGTAATGAGATAGTACGGCTAGAGATTTTAAAATTAGAGGAACTAAGACGAAGTAAATATGGTTTTACTTTTAGCAAAAGTTTTGACTTGTTTATTTCAAAAGGAAAAAGTCTGTAAATTCTCAAAAAATACAAGACTTCCTTTCCAGTCTTCTATGCATGTTTAAGAGGAACCCTTTTTATTTGATACATTCTGATGTGTGGGGACCAGTCCCAGTTGACTCCTCTACTGGCTTTAAATATTTTGTTACTTTTATTGATGATTGGTCTCGTGCTACTTGGGTGCATTTATTGAAATAAAAAACCAAAGTTTTTCTTGTATTCAAAGAATTTTCCAATCTAATTTCCAATCAATATAATGCTAAGATTAGAATTCTGCGAACTGATAATGGCATAGAATATGTGAACAAAGCTTTTTCTAAGTATTTATGTAATCTTGGCATTATACACCAAACCTCATGTTTTGGGGCACCTCAGCAGAACGGAGTTGCTGAAAGGAAAAACAGACACCTTTGGGAAGCTATGAGGTCTTCGATGTTTCATATGTATGTTCCAAAAAATTATTGACCTTTTTCGCAACTTCAAAGGAGCAAGAGTCAATTTCTTAATTCTTTGGGCTCTAGTAATAGCTTTGAGTTTAGGTAAATTTACGCACCCACTAATTTTGAAAAAAGGAAGGAAAATTGTGTGAAAAAAGAATTAACAAATGCAAAAAAAAGGAGAAAAGAAAGCTGAAAAAGATGCATCTCCAATCCCCATACAAAGCACAAATACTAATCAGAGGAGTTTTATTCTTCGTTGTTATTCCTCTGCTACCTGAAACTAAACTGGTTTTAGAAAGAGAGGAAGGAAAAGAGACGCCAAAGCTCACAACAGAAGGTTGGGTTGGGTCAAATCAGTTAGGAATGGTTTAAGGTAGTTGTTGGAAGTAGCTCGACATGCTAGTTCTCTATGTTCCCTTGTGGGATGATGAGTGTCGTAAGGTTTTTCTAAACCTTGTTATCGAGCCAGAGCCTCAATTTTTGGTTGCATATGTCCTTGTACTTTTCATTAATGTGACCTAACTAGGCTGAGCATGTCAACTTCAGTTGTGAGCCCAACTAACAATCTATGACACCATATTTGTTATTGTGTATCATTCTGTAATTGATTAATGTCTCGTGTTGGATTTTTATCTAAAGCTCACTTCATCCTTTCACCCATCATGTGGTTAACTGATACGAAGTACAGAATCCATCACATGCAGATTATGAGTTTAGTCTTTCCGTAATTACATTCTAGTTCTTTCATTATCTGCCTTTCATATAAATATCAGGATGATATCAGGTAACAGATTGTCCGATCACTAATTCAATCTGCATATCAGGCTGTCATACCATCACACTATCTCATGAAACCACATATGGAACCCTATAATGTTTGCATAAGTAATGGACAGGAACTGTACTGCCCAATGTGAATTCCATGAACAGGCTACAAGATTGCAGTAGCTAACAGCTAGATGAGTGGTCATTCTAACAGTTGAACATCCACATCAATTTAATATAGAGGCATCACATGAGGTTAATTGAATAACACAGGTCCTAATATAATCCTAACAATGTGACACATCAGCCAAAAAAGCATGTCCATACCCATGGCAACAAGCAAGTACCCTTAGAAATATCCGCAAGTGGTGCGCGTAAATTTTGTGCATATTTGGTACGAATTTAGTGTGCTAACAGATTCTTTAGCAAGAGATGGTGCCTTGAGAGGTAACTTTGTTGTTGCCCCTCAGCCACAGATTTTTAGCACCATCTCCCATGTCATATATTTCTGTTGTTCCCTTTTTCTTCAAAACACACATTATTGTACACTTTCACAATGAACTAATGAACAATGTCACCAATAAGACAAAATTCTACAAAAGAGTCGTCCTTTCTAAATGCCCAAATTTTGGAAGGGTCTCATGTAATATTAGTTTATCAAATAGAGCAATATATGACAGTCAAACCTAGAGTGATGCAGTTTATCTCTGAACAGTACATTCAACTTCTTGAGGGAATACA